ATCTATATAAAACAAAGAGTGTCTGTCTGTTTCTGTGTGTGTGTGTCCGCATGAGAATCTCGGAAACTACTTTACGATCTGTATTGATGATGGATGATGTTATATGTGAGTGATGGATGGTGTTTATATGTATTGATGATGATGTTGTTATGTAGTGATGATGGATGGTGTTATATGTAGTGATGATGGATGTTTGTATGTAGTGATGATTAGACAATCTATCTATATAAATCAAAAGAAATCTTTTCTGTTTGTGTGTGTGTGTGTCGTGCGAATCTTAAAACTACTTTACCGATCTGTAGTGATGATGGATGGTGTTATATGTAGTGATGATGGATGGTGTTTTATGTAGTGATGATGGATGATGTTATATGTAGTGATGATGGGTGGTGTTATATGTAGTGATGATTGAACAATAAAATAATAACAGTTTAATGCTAAAAAACTATACTTTGCTGTCCCGTTGTAGTAGAAAACATGGTGGAACTTACATACACTGTTAATGAACTATTGATGGAAGAAGTTTTGGGGACTGAACAGTGAGACAATGTTAGGCAACGGTAGGGCGCTACCCTTCGGGAGTCTCCACATTCTGTCACTGTTTAGTCCCCAAAACTTCTTCCATCAATAGTTATAGCGGACCCGTAAATTTATTTACAAAATCATTAGAAGGAGTTGTGCCAGACTTGTGGAAACAGGCAAATGTAGTACCCATATTCAAAAAGGCAGACCGAGCATCAGAGTTAAATTACCGGCCGATCAGTTTGACGTCACTTAACTCTTTTTCTACTTCATTGTCAATATCCATGTCTTTGAAACATTGATTAGTCATATAGAGTTCTACTGCCAGCTCTGTCATTGAAAGGTGTACTTTTATCATTTGTTTGTCTAAGACCAATATTTCTTGACAAGCAGTCAAAATTATCAATTAGTTATTTGATCAGAAAAGTAAAAGCGTCTTTTCCAGGAGTAATTTTTGTGAGCCAATTTAAAATCACAGTATTTATAAACTTACGAGAAGAATTCATAATGTCAAACCATTCGTCCACCAGATTTATTAAGTCATCAGTTTCCTTCCAATTTCTACTCACCAGTAGTCCTCATTCTCCAAGATATTTCAGTGAGCTAGAGCAAGTTTTTGACAACAATTGGACTGCATATTTAACCCGCTGTCGTTGCTGATCCCCATACATTTAAATGCATTTTACTTAGTTTGCATGCTAAACCACTCTTTCTTACTTGCTGTCATCATTTCCCGACTGGAGGAATCTATCTATATAAAACTTCCATCCTTTCGGTAAAATCCTGAATCGAGAAAATTATCCCTAATTAAATTAATCAAATGTGGCACTTTTGCAAACACAAATACATCCCGATCAGTACTCGGGTTTTTGAAAGATATTTTCTTTCTTTCCACAGGATCAATATCAAATTCGTTCCACATCCTAAGGTTACTGAACCCTAAGTCGTTCACCATTGCAACGACAGGGTAACCTGCATGCTCAAGCTCTTCTATTAAAGTTAACAAGACTCTTTGTATATATGGGACATCAAAGTCATAAAAAATTGACTGCTTCCAATTGCCTGCCAGTCCGCTTGGCATGAAAACCTTGACTTTCTCAGGAGGTTAATATAGGATATCCTTACCTTTGTCATAACTCCATTCACTCGCAATGGCCATTTCATCTAATGATCTCACAGCTAACCTTTCAAGTGGACTAAAAGTTTCAGACTTTGTCTTTATGAGTGACAACACAGAGAGTGTAAGATGCCAGGTTCGCATGCAAAATTCTTGGCTTGTTCATTAAGAGTTGTTTTACTCGGCAAAGGAATTCCTTTTATACTTATCAGATATTCATAACATTTGGGACTCATGCTCCTCAAAGTTAAGGCCTCAGACAGTAGTGTGTACACACACTAATGGCCCTGGTAAGACTGGGGTCGACTTGTCAACTACAAGGAGACGCAGGCAGAGTGGATCACCTGACGTTATCACTCCCGCTCGCCTCGGACCTCACCTGGGCGCGTCCGACCTCTCTACATAGACCTTGGGTTGGACGGATATATGAGCGATAGGGGTTGGGTGTAAATGGGACTGCCCAGTATGGGCCAATAGATCCGCTGTAGTTTCCTCCATTTCTATGTTCTTAGATGTTTTATAATACTTCGTAATCCTTAGAAATCAATATTTGTTACACATCCAACACTGGTCGTTGATATGATTAATTTTTTTATTTAATTTTATATTTATACTAGACA